AAAGAGACACATCAGAGCAAATTACGGCGAAGAGCCTCTGATGTGAAACTCCCATGAGAAAGAACAGGAGAAACTCCCCAGCCACTCCCAAGGGCTAATTGCTGAGAGCGACAGACCAAGCAGCACACGAGGAGGGCCCAGGCAGGTCATTACCCCTCCTTGGGAGGATCCTCACCCCCAGCCCCAGGCTGGGAGGCTGGCGTGGGCCAGGGCAGCCCCGTCGTGCTGGCTCGGGCACGGTGGAGATGCCAGCCCTGGGCTGGGCTGGGGGCAGCACCAGGACATCAGGCCGGGCAGGAGCTCTGGGGAGCAGCCCTGGCATTCCTCCCCTGGGGTGCCCGGGGGTCACAGGCCATCCCTGCCATCCGTAAGGCAACCCAGGGTGCAAATGTGGAGAAGTGGAAATCCCTCTGAGCAGCCCAGCCTCTGTCCCCATTCCCTCAGACCTCCCCTGCTCCCTCCAGGGGGGCTGGGCTAGGTGAGCTTGAAAGGTCCCTTCCCACCCAATCTGGGATTCCATGACCTGGAGAGTCCACAGGGCCCCCAGGCCCCACCTCTGGACACTTGCCTTTCTCATGGTTTAAAGAAATGGGGATGAGAGAGGGAGGGAGGAAGGATCATCAAGTCCAGCAGTTAACAACTGTTGAGTGTCTGAGCTGGAGAGGACAAACCTCGAGCTGCAGTTGGTCACATCTGTGGGGCTGGGCTGCTGTGGGGTCTGCTCCCCAGGGAAGCAGAACTTCACTCCTTGGATTATTGATTGGTGGAGCCTCAAGGAATTAGAAGGTGGGGGGGTTTTGCAAGCTCTGACCAAACAGGCAGGAACTCAGAAGCCTTCTGACCCCTCCAGAGGGATTTTGAAGCAATGTTTTCAAAAGGTAAACCAAGACTGACTGACGGCAGATGTCCCCTGAGCTGTCTGTGGGGAAGGGAACAGGATGGAAATCACTAATTACCTTCCCCTGATTAAGCCTGAGCCCTTCCAGCCACACCTGGGCAACAGCTGCCCCTCCCTCTTCCCCTGCAGGCAGAGCCACCCTGTGGGACCCCCAGAGGGACTGGGACAGGCTGGCAGCACCACCAGAACCCTGAGTGGTTTCAGTGCTGACTCTGAGACCAGCCTTGGGCACCTCTGCCCCAGCCCCAATGAATCCAGCACTGCTGGGGGGCTGGGGGCTGGCAGGGACAATGCTCAGCCCGTTCCCATGGAGAACCCAGCAAGGAAGGTCAGAGGTGAGAGAGGGGTGGGAGCTTCTTTAGCCTTTCCAGAGAGCTGGGCCCCTGGATAATAAGTCCCTCTTGTTCGTACAGAAAGGGGACACTGGGTTTCCACTCTCTGCCCAATTTAAAAACAAAAGCAGTGCTGGCAGCAGCAGGAGCACCCAGCTGATAA